ACGTCCATCAAAGAATTGGAGTCCAGCTATGCTTGCATACATGCATCAGCAAAAGGTGCCAGTCAGACATGCTTGTGTACATGCATCAGGAAAAGGAGCCAACTTGGATCCAAGGAGTCTGTACGCCACGTTGGATCAACACATCTTGTCAACAGAAGTCGTGCACTACTGGGTCTCCGTACGCTGCGTTCCGCGGTCAAACGCTCTTAATAAATAGCTAGCCTAAATTAGGGCTTAGACTCGGAATTTGTTTAGAGAAGTTTAGCTATTGCTACTTTTATTTGTCTTCGCTCATAGCGGCTAGTGCGGCCGTTAAGACATCATATCGAAACCCCAACTTGTGAGATTTATTCCATCTGGCATATTCGCAATTTTGAGATTGCTTGGCTATTATTTTCTTGCATGTTCTTCGATTTGCTTGCAAGAAAAATCCTTCGTGGATAGGTCGACCGCGCCGTTGGCTCGGTCGATAACGCCGTGGAGTTGGTTCAGCGATTGTCGTGGATGTCAGTCATGTACAATTCTCCCTGTACGGTTGGTAGCCGGATTGTGAGGGTCAAGTCCCACCCAAAATCGTAGTTATCTCTCTCTCATCGAAAGATCAGCCCCGGTTCACATCACTTGATTTCTTTTTGCCTATGATTGTCAATGTTGTGTTCCTAACATAATATTGACCTTTTTTCTAAACCTTTGGCAATGGGAATTTAGGCTCCACAAAAAAAATTCCTATTTCTTGACCTTCATGGCAGTGGAACTAAGAGCATAGCTTGTATTACTCTCCCTTGCTGATTAAATTTTGCATGCTTGCACGATGAACATGGATATCACTTTTGGGGTTTGGTTCAATGTATTCTTTAGAGTTGGTAGCCATGTGCTTTTGGTGTCAACCTTCTTACTCGACAACAAGCAAGGTTTAAGCGTGGGGAGGTTGATGGCTCTATATTTTACACATTATTAGAGCTCATTTGTTGCATGTTCTCTTCATATACTATGTCCCACTGAACCAAATAGTTGTCCATTATGTATGATTACCGGTTTTTGCACTTATCATTGTGAGCATTGCACATTTAGTATTTTATTTGGTTTTTATTAGTTTTCCTTGTTTTCTTGTGTCTACGGGTGTTTTGGAGCAACCTATAACCAAGCATAATAAAAGGACCAAGGATGGGATCAATACGGAGTCAGGTAGGGGTCAGACTTGGCCATTTCAAAGCTCGAACAAAAACCATTTTTCTAAAATGCTCCAAATCAAGATCTAAGACCAGAAATGGATCGGCGTCGTTCATACAAATCCAACGAGCCCAAGAACTTCAAATCCCGAGTTTGATGACGACCATTTTACCAGAGGAGGTCAAACCAAAAGATGGCCTTCATGTAACCACGTGCGGTCGTTTTGGCGGTCGTTTAACATGCATTCAGCTCCGAAAGTTGCCCTTCCAGAGGAGATTCTTCACCGATTTCGTCACCGTTCGATTCCACGAGATCCTTGACTCGTAAAGAAGAGATTGGCAGAGGATAATGCTCATCTTGAGCCCATGGATGAGGCCTATCAAGGGAGGAGGCTAGGGAGGCTCCTATATATGTCATCCTCAACCCTAGTCGCCGCAATTCATAATCCATTTATCTCATTCATCCACAACCATCTCCATTGCTGCTCCACACCAGAGAAGGAGGGACAAACGCAAGGAGAGGAGGCTCCATCACCATGAGCACCGGCCTTCGAGCCGATGCCCTCTCGTCGGCGCCGCCACCACAAGTGGTGTCACCATCTCCATCACCATCGTCGCAGCCACCATCATCACCATCATCACCACCATGTCGCCGCCATCACCACCATGCCTTCTCCCTTCACCGGCTTGATGATGGCTTGTAACTCATCCCGACTTTCCTCATTGAGTAGTTGTAATTGAATATAAGTAAAATAGTAGAATGACTCATCCCAGCTTGTCCCCATTGAGTAGTTGTAATTGAATATAAGTAAAATAATAGAATGAAATATATTTTCTCATGCATCATTGCACGTGATGATGGGACCATAATTATAAGGTGATATGACATACTTACATGTTGAGATAAATAAGTTAGTAGGGATCACTCTTATCTATATAGGATGCCAGCGGTGTGCTTAGCCCATCCACCTAATGATACGGACACCGCAAGTACTCTTGTGGTTCCTTCAATATTGTCAAGTAAAATATCTTCCAACCGAGAGACTCGTTACGAAAGTAAGATGCAAAAGTATGTGGTTCTTGCTCTACGTCATAAGAAGACCATGTCTGCAACAGAACAGAGAGGCATCTTAGGTGTGAAGCCTGTTTCATATGCTACTAAAGGGAAATGGTCATATGCTCTACCGATTGAATGCAATAACATCATCACAAATAACTCTTTTGTTTGTCCAGTTGCTCCACAGATTGTGCCTCAGAAGAAAGTGAAGCCCATGTTCAGAACACCTTGCCATGCAAGTATACATATGTGATGAATCCCAGAATCAATCATCCTACAAGAGTGCAAGCCAAGTATTATTTTGTCGTAGGGAAGGATATGTGTGTCCTTTTTATTTATTTTCATAGTTCGATCAGATTTGGTAGTCTTTTTTTTGTGTACAACTTGTAACCGATGAGGTGTCCTCATGGTTTTCTTAGTCCAGGTCGGGCCTAGCTCAAGTATTAGGCGCTACCTGGGCTCGGCCCATTTGTCCTTTTTCCTGCTTTCAACAAGGTAAAAAAGGTGCGTAGACAAGGGTTCAAACCGGCGACCTGTTCACTGCGAGGGCTACATTGGTAGCATCAGGCCATCGCTCCGCTCATGACAAAACACTTCGCGCCTTTGTTTTATCAGTTCTTCAGTTTGTTTTATTTTTTTTATCCTTTTTTGTTCTTTATTTTTTTAATGCGTGTTTATTTTTCAAATATCGTGAACCTTTTTCTAACTTGATGAAGATATAAAAAATTCGATGAACTTTTTTTCCAAAATCTATGAAGTTTTTTTCAAATTTGATGAACTTTTTCTAAATTTGATGAACTTTTTTTCAAAATCGATGAACTTTTTTTCAAATTTGATGAACTTTTTCTAAATTCGATGAACTTTTTTCAAATTCGGTGAACTTTTTTTCTAAATCTATGAAAAAAAAAATTGATGATTTTTTTCAAATTCAATGAACTTTTTTTCGCAATTGGTGAACTTTTTCCCAAAATTGATGAACTTTATTTAAATTTTGTGAACTTTTTTGGTGAACTTTTCCCAATGTTTTGATTTTTTTTGAATTCTTGAACGAAACGATCGAGCCAAGAAAATAATCGCGACAAGCTATCTGACTTCGACCTAGCGATCTGCCTGGTTTTGCGCTTAATGGGCCGGCCCAGCTTGCAGTGCCTGTGAGCGCCAGCGGGCGAACCGGCGCCTGCAGCCAATTAGGAGCTCCCAGGTTTTAGTTTTGTCAAAAAAAACTCAGAAGATGCATCTAGCGATGCCCACATATCTGTGCTCAAGCGTTCCTTAATCAGGGTTTGATAATTGTATGTGTTTCGTCGATCGTTAAGGCGCAAGTTTCCTGTTTTTTTTCCATATACTTCTATTAAGGCTGGTTGTAATGGAGAGTATCATGTACTAGTATCATGCATATGATACTAGTGTATCATATGTTTGTATTATAGATGACTATATTTATTGTCATGCATGACACAAAGTAGCACATCATTTAATATGATACGGTATCATGATATGATACACAACCATCTCTTTCTTCATTTAATTCTATGCCACTTCATCAACATTGCTTACTACTTATGATATTCTCATTACGGACAGCCTAATGCTTATTATCCATCTGCTAATTACTCCATCGCCGTCGCCGCCGCTAATCGCCATTAGCTTAATAACCTGCCTCTATACTAGTACTACTACTACCACCTACATCTTCCAACCGCTGTTCATCTCTACAATCCATCCATCCATCTAGTCTACTACTAGTCTCCTTATTGCGTTTTCTTTTTCCTAGTACAATTGTTGGCGCGTGGTGAAAGATCAGGGCAACTAAAAAACCGTTACCGTCTCAACGCAACTTGAGCCATATCACCTAAGAATCAGTGTCAGTAGGATTTTTTTTAACGGGAAGATTCTTTGTTGATCAAGAAGGACAACGTCATTTACAAGAAAATCCAAGATAAAACTGTGCGCACTAGAATCCCAAAATGACGAGGATTGATCAAGAAGCTGATATACAAGACAATCAACAACCACATTTGCATCTCAACTATAATAACCAAAAGAAACCTTCCCGAACCCTGTTGCAAGTTGAGCACATTCAGCAATGGTCGCCGCGTCAGCTCCATAGTACTCCCTCCGTCCCAAAATCTCAAGCTTAGAATAAATTTCTACTAGAGCTAGTATAAAGTTGAGACATTTATTTTGAGATAGAGGGAGTAGTAGTTTTGTAGCTTCAATCACAGGAACACGATCGGACTCAATCTCCACCTTGTTACAGCCTAAATGTGAGGCCAGAATTAATCCATTCCGTAACGAGTGCGCCTTTTTACATGCTAATGTTGCAACTTAACTGACTAATCAATTGATAGATCTAGTTGCTGATCCCACAAAAACTAATACAACATGGTGGATTGGTAAACCTAGTTTCACTTAACTACCCCAAGCATCTCATGCAATGGCAAAGAATGACGTGATAGGATTACTTCCTGGAGAGGCTGTTGATCTTGTCGTCGATTCACGGGCTACCTACAATACACTGATCTCCAAATAACTATCGCTAAGCAATTTATTACAGATCTGTTTCATTTGGTTGCCATTTCCCCTTCGCATGATAAAAAACTATCCATGGCCGAAAAATATTGCCATGTCTGCATGTTTTCTTCATCCTTCTTGCTCTCCTGCAAACATAAATAAAATATTTGGTACTTCTGTTTGAAGAAAAATATTTGGTAATTTTTACTGCTAAGTGCATAGATTAGCATGCTTTCACCCAACAATACTAATTGGCAAGATTACATTATGACATCCAAAATGGAATTATGGGGTTGTTTTGTTGGGCTTGGGCAGTGGCTTTCTGCGCCCTATAAGCCACCCAACCAAATACTCCCCGTCCCATAATGTAAGACGTTTTTTGACACTAGCATAGTGTCAAAAAACGTCTTACATTATGGGACGGAGGGAGTACCTTATTTAGAGTTTATGCAATATTTCAGGGTTTCATCTACCTACCTCGTATTTCTGAAGCAATGATGTCCACACAGATTTGCACTGTGCTGGTGTACGAGTTATCCCCTGCTTCAACAGGCTACCAGATATCTCTTCCCACAGAACCATTCTTCCTTTGACGGTTTGGAATTTCTCATTCATTTCTCCACGCAGCTGTATCAAGCTCTTAATTTCCTCGGGCTTCCACTTGTTCTTTCTTGAAGATTTAGCTGCAGCAGGAGCTGACGTGCTGGAATCCTTATCTATTATGCTGATCTTGCCGAGCTTTGGTTTGTTCCCTTGAGCTGAAGCATTGACAATTCTTGCAATTTTTACTGCTGTAGGGGACTTGAACGACTCCCAAAAATGATCCAATGTTTTAGGCTGATGTAAATCAGGAGAGAAGAATGATTCACCATTGGAGCTAGTGGTTGCATCGTCAGGTGTTGTTCTCATGACCTCAGGGATGCTCTCTGCAAACAACGTAATGACATCATTGGCACGAATTGATCCACAACTACATGAAATGTTGACAACTGAACTAACAACTAGTGTTTAAAGTTCCAGGGATAAACAAAGTAACATATAAAATACTTGCCGCTTCATACCTTCAGCCTCACGCTCTGGGTTCTCTGGCCGTGTTTTCTCATAGTCTAGACTCATATGCCTATTTATTACCTCTTCTGAGAAACCTACTGTAGTGTTCTCTGAAGCAACTACAATGACGTCAGGTCTCTTTCCACTGTACTTTCTAACCATTTTCCTCAAGATTTCAGATACCATTCGCTCCATGTGACTAAGTGGGCAATTCAAAGGACAGCTTGACAACGCTGCATGCGCAGCCTTGTAAAGTGCATCAAGTAGCCTCCCATTATCAAGCCATAGACACCGTGTTGTTATTTTAAATTTCCCTTTCAAGCCAGACTGTGGTGAAGCAGGTTTAGGTCGGAAGATCTCCATGCTGCAGGGAACAAATAATATGTTTAGCATTTTGGGGGTGCCTAAAAAGTAAAAACAAACACTGCATACTGTTTTATCATCTCAACAATGTTCAGATGCATTTTGGGGGTCCTCTGATTCACAACTAAAAACAACTTCTGCTGAAGATAAACATCATGACAAATGCCCCAAAACCGTGTGAGAAATTACCTGACAAAGATAATGCCATCAGATGCGATCCTGAATCTCTCATCGATGCAGAGATCAGTGGACGTTCCAAAAGCTTTGTCTCCGTCACTATACATTAGCTATAATATCAAGTACATCATGTTAAGTTTCAGAGCTGTTAAGAGACAAGACAGAGATAGTAGGATTAAATGATTCACCTTAAAGTCCTGCTTCCCTAAAGAAACAAACCCATTTGACAAAACCTTTCTGTTTCTTAGATGAGATACACCAAGCATCTCCCCATTTTTAATTACCTGCAATCAAAATAAGCAACTAAGAAATCCTACTAAATGCTAACATAATGGACAATATAAGGAGTAAGAACATGTCTATATGATGGCAATGCTAACAAAATAAACATCATGCCATCATTTTTAGTGTTAGGGGAGTAAAATGAGCAGCACTACATTAAGTTTAAGGTTTGTCTCCCTTAGCATAGTCATATACATCTATGGCACTAAGATACCTGAAGTCCCAAACCATGGAAGACAGATTACTTACAGTAGTGTGCTTTATGCCAGTTGACCTTCCTAGCAATTCATGTTCTTTGAGAAACAAGAGTTCCCCATGAACAGGCAAGAAATGCTGCGGTTTAACAATCTGTAGAACTTCCTCCTGGAAATAACAAATTAAAGACACATTATCTCCTCTAATCTCAAGTTAACATCAGAATTAAGAACATTTCACACGGAGATCTAGGCCTAATTCCATAGCAGTATACTCGCTATGTTACAAAAATGCATGACGTTCCAAAACACAATCTCCAAGATGCACCTTTGACTGTTCTTTTTTATATGTATTGTAAATTATGAAAATGATATTACTTTAAAACTATTTTTATGAAACATCCAATGGTGCGTTCTACCAAGCAAAACAAAACTGCTTTCTGTAATCAGTTGGCAAAGACGGTGAAGTTTCAAACGGGGATAGTAGTAATATACATTGTTACCAGGTACGAAAGCATATCAAAGAGCAGAAAGCAACACATGAGAAAAAAATTACCAGTTCATCGTGATAGGCATGCCCAGATGTATGGAGGCCAGCATCTTTACCCATAACAATTTTGGGGCCAAGGTCGGTGAGGCGATTTAACATCTTCATTACCCGGGACTCGTTTCCAGGGATAACCTGAAAATAAAAGCATATGCATGATGAGATTTGGCAATGCTATGCTCAAAGGAGAAACCAGTTGACCTGCAACCATAAATACTACAACAAAGGTATGTTAGATGCTTTTCATCAATTCATTTGGCGCCCTTTCACGCATACTTGTTAAGAGGAATGATATTTCAAAAAATAAATGTGTACTAGAATGCTACAAAGCATGGACACGGCCAAAACTGCCAAATTGCCGTCCTAATTCGGTGGGACACGGCGATATGGCCAGACACACCGGAATACGCAGGACCCCAGTATCCTCTGATTCTCGGATTAAAAAAAAAGAAAAAAAAGGTAAGATACGGCTGGGACACACTGGGGACACGGGGAAGCCCAATAACAAACAGCCTCGGCCCGGTACAAACCCTATTTTGCAGGGTCGCACACATGCTCACCACAAAAGGACCGCTGCTCCCAATCGAACGCGCCGTCGCCTGGGTTCGAGGACCGCCGCCGTCGCCGCCTCCTGCACTCGACCACCGCCGCCGCCGCCTGCAATCGACCGCCACAGCCACCACCAGGACTCGACCTCCCGATGGCAACCACGCTCGAGCAGATAACCCCAGCAGCCTCTCCTCAACCTCTTCATCTCTTTCTCTCAGAAAAAAAAACTCTTCATCTCTTTGCTCGACTTCTTGCTGTTGAGTTGCTGCTGCTTGCTTCCCATGTGGCCATGCAGTTGCTGCTTGCTCTTGAGCTGCTGCTCACTTACATGCTGGTGCCTGGTTGCTGCTTGGTGCTGGGGAGCATGGCGTCTGGGAGCACCACCGCCGGTAGCCAATCATCCGTGAGTGAGGGTGAAAGTTACACCTGCATCTTCTGCTGTGTCTTCTCCAGTCTCTACTCTCTAATAGACTAACACTAGCATTTGATGGATTATGCAAGTTGCAATGACATGGGTCTCTCTAGAGGATCAATTAATTCAATCAAGCACTGACATCAGACAACAAATAGAAATGGGGCAGTATTCTGATCTCATCTTAGTTTCTCTTCTTCTTCTTTTTTAACTCTATATTACATGGCATGTTTTGATTTTTGTTATATACTCGCCGTATCCCCGAATGGCTGTCTTTGGAAAATGCCGTATCCCGTGTCCCCATATGTGTGTCGCCGTCTTTCCATCCCCGTATCCGTGCTTCTTAGCTAGAATGTAATTAGTTGTAACACAATAATGAGAAAATAAATTTTGTGTAACATAACCCACGTATTATTGGATTAATACATCAACGATCAAAGCTTAAAATTGGACAGTCAAAGGACATCCTGCATCTCCAAATAGAGGGGGTACCAATTTTCTTCAGAAATTAAGAAAGTCATGCTCAAGAAAGCTGACAGAGTCAAGAATGCACACGGAGCAAAAATATATGACTCTGTTCCATCTGACTAATCTCAAAGGTTCTTGAAACAACTCAATGATACTACATGAGCAATACCTTAGCTGAATAAAGAAGGACGTCCTCTTTGCATAGTTTAAGAGCATGGCTCCCCCCATAAGATGCGAGATTCAGAGCTGCACGTGGCTCTGCCTGGACAAATTTTATACAGAGATGCAAGAATTATAAGAATGTGAATGACCAACTGATTCTGAGGACCACTTAGCCTGTAACTCTTACCTGTGAACCTGTAGTAACGACTAAAAGATTTTTAGGGTCATATGCATCCATGTCCTCTGCCTTAACCTGCAGAAAGGTTCTGAAATTATGAACACCACTTTGTTGCATCATCATGTGGATATCAAAAGATTGCTGGAAGAATCTACTACTGAGTACTGACACAAACCCTAATTACTGAAAAGTAGATAAAAGTAAACGACAATATTCTTCTCTGCTTTATTGAGAGGGGTCAGCCCCTTTATATAGTAGAGATATCTATGTGTCCATTAACTCAAGTTATGTTAGAAGGAACTCGTAGGCCCCTTTAGGTGTTTTCGCATGTAGATATCGCTTGCTAGTTTACCAAGAAACCAAATACACACACACACACACACACACACACACTTCTCTTTTTGCCACAACAGGGAGCTAACTGAATTTTATTGAGGTAAACACAGTACATGGACTAAGGAAAACAGAAAGGTGTTTACTTGGGCAGAACACAGTCAAGCATCGAGCTACTGTAGGAGCTGCTAAAATTTCTGCAACTAGCATTCAAGCCCCCTGAGTATACTGACAGGAGGCCATACAATGAAGATAAAGTAGATAGCTTAAAGCAGATTGTGCTGACACAAGAACATCAATTGAACAGATCGCCAATAGGCAGTAAAAAGAGACAGTTCCAAAACCGCATCATTCACAACAATCACAATAACAATTGAATAAGTAACTTATCAAGTAAGTTGCTGCATACCAAGGTTGATGGATCCAGTGGTGCCTTTCCATCCCTGAAAGCAGCCTCAAGGTACGTCCGCAGTGACATTCCAACAAAGACCTGTTTCAGTTTACCAAAACTACAGACTAAGAAACTATGAACTACAAAAATCATCAAATTAAACGAGGTGTGGTGTAGTCTGTTGAACTAAGACTCAAAGATTACCAGCCTTCGACCAGTTAAGTCTGCAGCGGCTTTGATGCTCCCAATGCGATGTATATTTGAAGCAAATTGTGTTGTAATTACTCTTCTCCCTTTTGCTTCTGAAACATGACGCAACAATGAACTAGCGACAACAGATTCACTCGTGGATCTTCCAGGGGACAGAATATTTGTTGAGTCGCTCATCATCTTGAATTGAGAGAAAAAACAGAAATATAAAGTTAGGATCATACAAACGAAGAACTTCTTATGCCAGGTGAGACCTGGCTCAACACTTCTTTAGTTTTTAAATATTTGTAGTTCTTTCTTCATAGTAAATGTGTAGCTTTAAATATAAGGTCAAATTTGAAGTTTGACCAAGTTCACAGAGAAAAATATCAACATCTAGAATACCATATTATTGGAAAACTTAACAAAGTTTGACTTAGGAAAAAAAATTATATGTCTTTACATTTTGGCAAATGAGGGAGTATCTTTCTACAATATTGCATAGGTGAAATCTATGCCAAAGACCTAAAGAATTGGGAAAAAAGGTACAGATCTTAGTCAATAGGGATCAACTTACCAGAGTAACACCTTCTTTCGAGAGCTCCTCCAATGCTTCTCGGTCGAATATTCTCCCATCCACTGGTGATTCATCAATCTTTAATTGAAAATAAGTTAACCAAACAGTCCAGTTAAAGAACATAGTGTACAATTATTGCTGATATAACTTACTTTCCAGTCACCAGTATGGAAGATTGTGCCATCACCACAACGAAGCACTAATCCACAGCAGTCAGGAATTGAATGAGTTACGCGGATAGGTTCCACTTCAAATGGACCAGCCTGAAACCTATTTCTAACTCTAAAACTCTTTAGCCTGGATGAGAGAAAAATCCCAAACTCCTTCAAACGCTTCTTTATGAGCTGCCCAAATATGAATAAATTCGTGTCATAACTTTTAAAGATTTGGCAGCAAATATACAAGTAATAATACATCAACATCATGAAACATGCAAGCAGTGATCAAACAATTGAGTGTTACCTCCATCGTAAAAGATGACGCAAAAATAGGTGTGGTCGAATCCAGTGCAGGAATAACCTATCAGCAGAAACGATGAAGGGACAGCTGAGCATATTCCAAAGGTGGATGCAATTGGAAAATAAAAAGGCTCAGAAATATCATCTCAAGATATCAAGTTAGCAGTGTCTATGAAAAGCAACATGTAAAATAACAAAAACGCAGAAAAACTGTATACACAAGAAGAGCTAACCAGATGCCAAACATTGGCATGCTCGTGTATAATTTAAGTGTGCCCTGTTTGAACAAGCCCTGCCCAAATTAACTCAAAGAAAAACTATGGTATTCACAAAACAAAATTATGTGACTTCTTGTCCAAGTCATACATCTAAAGTTGAGATAAATCAAAATCGATCTATGCCTTGAAAGCAAAGATTGTTAATGATGGAATAACTATTTCCCTCTTAATGCTCTAGAAGAAAAGATCGAGTACTTCCTCGAAATTAGAAGATCTGGCATAACAAATACTAGTGATGCTACATGATATTCCTCATAAGAACACTTGACATGTGGTATTATGTATTTATGTTGACAGCTCTTGGATTTAATTGCCACTGTAGCTATTTCTGAAAGATGTTATTCAGCAAAGGGAAACTTTGGCTCAGGATTGCATGTATTATACAACGAAGAGGGTGTTGTATAACACAACTACCTATCTTTGAAGTTTGACAATTAAGACATGTTGCGCATGAAAAGAATGAGACTGTAAACAAGAGGTTCTAATTGTCAACCAGGGAGTTCCATTGTGCTATTGTGACTCAAAATATGATACAGGACTGTTAGTTTCCATATCATTATCACATAATTAAGTGAGCAGCAGATAGCCAAGCAAGCATGATAAATGTTGTATTAGAGTAACAGAAGAACTATTTACCCAAGGCAACGCACCGATGTGATCTTCATGGCCATGTGTAATAATAACTGCTTCAATTTTGTGGCTCCATTTCTTGATGAAAGTTGTGTCAGGAATAATCTTTTGCACACCAAACTCGTCGTAGCTGACATAAGTTCAAATAAAATGCACTACGTCAAAATTCAGCACACGTGTGGACAGGAAACAATAGATAACGACAGTTTTCCTCCCGGCCTCCAGACGAACTAAGGATGCATGCAGTAAGTGAACAGGAAATTCTATACATGCACATTATACACGTCTACCTAGAGAATCCGCATAAAAATTTAAGTCCTTGTGAAGCAGTGTGATTTACAAGAGAGGCAGTTGTTCATCAAAGTCCTCACTTGAATATGGTTTCTAAAAATGTGGTCAGAAAATGCATTATAAGGATGGCACACGCAGAAACAGATTAGCAAGCTACAGGAATGCAAGTATGAAACACATACTCTGGGAACATAACCCCTGCATCAATCAGGATATAACGGTCACAGTTCCCGACGAGCATGCAATTCATGCCGATTTCCCCAAGGCCGCCGATTGGGAGGACCCGGAGGGGCGGACCATCCACCCCTTCGTAGAACTGCTCCATCTTTCGCTTGACTGAATCTTCCATGCTCTTAGTAGCACCCTCGGTTCTCCGGAACCTTCTACGGGGTATTCTAGATTCATGAGACCCTGTGAGATATAAGGAGGAGAAGCGCATTGGTAGGCCGATTTGGGGCGACAGAAAGGACAGGTTCGTCAACAGGGGATGAAGGTTCAGAAAGTCGAGACATTAACCTCTGCCGGAGGGAGTTGCGAGCATGCAGCATGATATGGAGGTGGGCGCGGAGGCAGAACGGCGGCGAGCGGCGCCGCAGAGGCACAGAGAAGAGAGGGAGGCGAGCGCGACCATGGCGGCGGCGCGGGCGGGGGTGGGGTGGGGGGTGGAGTGGAGTGGAGCACAGACCGCGAGAGAGCGGATGGGATAACGCAGGTGCCGTGGTTGGGAGGTTAAGCCTTGTACTATAATACTATTCTCTCCGTCTCATAATGTAAGACTTTTTTTTAAGAATCAAGAGCAAAGAACTACTCAAGATGAAGAGCTACATTATGAGATTATCAGAGATCTTAAACTATCAGGAACTCCGATAGTCTTGTCGTAGACGCCAGCTCATGGACCACTGAGTTGCATTCCCTCCTCCCCAAATAAAATTTGTGTGATGTGAAAGCCTTCAAGGCCTCCTTTATATCCCATATCACTCCTAAACAGGTTGACGGTGATGGCTGATTTGCATTCAATTCATCTGACACGCATTTGCAGTCTAGCTCCAGTTTGACCGGCCTACTGAAACTGTAGCCAGCGCTTGACCAATCAAGGCCGCTCTTGCTTCAGCTTCCTCTACACTGTCCGATATGGACAGATCTTTGCCAACTGACAGGAGTACAAGGCCCTGGTGATTCCTTGCAACAGCACCCGCCCAGCTCTTACCACTGTTAGGCAGGAACGCCGCATCCGATTGATTTTGGCTGAACCATGAGCCGGTGAGACCACTACATGATATCTCGCCTGGGAACTCGATGTTTAGGGTTTGACGGAGCACTACCTCCTTTCCCAACTCTGAGCCACTGTTCAGACCTGCATTTTTCAGTTCTTCCTCATACCGCAACAGAAACAACACAGACTGTCTGATTAGCTCTTTTCCTTCCCCATGCACGCCATCCTCGCGAAGGTGCCAACATCTCCAGAGTAAGGGAAGCACTCTACTCTGCATGTTCTCAGTTCCTGTGCTTAGAATCATCTGCAGCCAATCTGGTCCAGTGTTTTTGAACTGTGATTCAGGCGGGAGCTCCCATACCTCCCTCAAGGCATGACGCAAGGCCCTGCTTTTTGTGCAGCCAATCACTACATGGAACTCATCTTCGTTGCTACAGCCACAGATAGTACATATTGCGTCCAACTCAATAGTTCGCCTGCACTTATTCTTCTTAGTAGCAAGTGTGTTGGCGGCCACCCTCCATGTGCAGACCCTGACTTTAGGAGGAATACTGGCTTTCCATGTTGTAGGATCGAAAGTAAGTCTAGAAGGGGGTGATTAGACTACTTGATCAAATAAAAATCTAGTCTTTTCCTAATTTTAGTTCTTGGCAGATTTTAGCAACATAGCACAAGTCAAGCAATCAACCTACACATGAAATTCTAAGAGTATAGTAGCGAAATGTAAATCATTGAATATGAAGGTAAAGGGGGGAGTTTGGAGGGAGCAAACACAATGTTGACACGGAGATTTTTGGCGTGGTTCCGGTAGGTGGTGCTATCGTACATCCACGTTGATGGAGACTTCAACCCACGAAGGGTAACGGCTGCGCGGGTCCACGGAGGGCTCCATCCATGAAGGGTCCACGAAGAAGCAACCTTGTCTATCCCACCATGGCCATCGCCCACGAAGGACTTGCCTCACTAGGGTAGATCTTCACAAAGTAGGCGATCTCCTTGCCCGTAAAACTACTTGGTTCAACTCCACAATCTTGACGGAGGCTCCCAAGTGACACCTAACCAATCTAGGAGACACCACTTTCCAAGAGGTAATAGATGTTGTGTTGTTGATGAACTCCTTGCTCTTGTGCTTCAAATAATAGTCTCCCCGACACTCAACTCTCTCTCATAGGATTGGATTTGGTGGAAAGATGATTTGAGTGGAAAGCAACTTGGGGAAGGCTATAGATCAAGATTCATATGGTTGGATTGGAATATCTTGGCCTCAACACATGAGTAGGGGTTCTCTCTTAGAAAGTGAATGATGGAAGTGTAGGCATGTTCTGATGGCTTCCCCCACGAATGAGGAGAGGATGGAGGGGTATATATAGCCTCCACACAAAATCTAACCGTTACACACAATTTACCAAACTCAATGGGACCGAATCAGAAAACTTGGTCGGACCGATTTAGTTCATAATGTGACCGTTAGGCATTTTGGTGGGACTGGCATGTCAACTCGGTGGGACCGTTTTCGTTATGGTTAGGGCATAACGTAATCTTGGTGAGACCGATTACACAAACTCGGTGGGACCGAGTTTGGTAATAAGCTAACCAGAGAGTTGGTCAGGCAAACTCGGTGGGACCGATTCGCTCATCTCGGTGGGACCGAAACGTTACGAAAGGGAAACAAGGAGTTTGCATTGCGAACTCGGTGGGACCGATCGCTCATCTCGGTTAGACCGAAATGTTACGAAGGGAAACAGGGAGTTTGCAATCCCATCTTGGTGAGACCGAGATCCCTATCAGTAAGACCGAAGTGACTAGGGTTTCTGGTAGTGGCTATGTCAAATGAACTCGATGGCGCCGAATAGATCAAATCGGTGGGGCCGAGTTTGACTTTTTGTTTGGGACATATGTGGATATGAGAAAGTGGTTGAGGGCTTTGGAGCATATCATTAAGCATTTTGAGCAAGCAAGCCATTAAGCAACAGCTCATCCCCTTTTAATAGTATTGGCTTTTCCTATGGACTCAATGTAATCTTGGATCATTGAAAGTAAAATGTAGAGTCTTGAGCTTTTAGAACTTGAGCCAATCCTTTGTCCTTAGCATTTTGAGGGGTCCACATTCCTGATCCATGCCATGCCAATCATTGAACTTTCCTGAAATATTCATCTTGAAATAGCATTAGTTCAATGAGCTATATGTTGTTAATCATTACCAAAACCACCCAGGGATAATTACACTTTCAATCTCCCCCTTTTTGGTAATTGATGACAACATATATATCAATGCTTCGACAAATGATAATAAGATTGAAATACATCGTCGCTTTGAGAAGTATGTGATAAGTAAGAGCTCCCCCTAAATTTGTGCATTATTTAAGATTTGCTTTTGAATGGAAATGCACAATCGATTAGTATCATGGGCTACTCTTCCCATGTCACATACATCTTGGTGGAGCGCTCAAAATGATAACAATTAAAAAGCATGCACTCATCACCAAGCAAAGTGAATGATCATATGGGGATATAAGAGATAATGTCATTCAAGCACACATTAAAGTAGCATGTGATCAAACACATGATCATCCAAGTATCTCACGTAAGGACATAATGTATCAAGCAAGCATACAATAAAGTTCAACCAAATAAAGTGCAAGAGAGACAAAAAGCAACACACTCTCTCTCAAAGGCTACGATCTATACATATTTCTCCCCCTTTGGCAACAAGTTACCAAAAAGTTCAAATATGCATAGTGCTATGCGTCTCTCAGGCTTGGTCTCCATGAGGTGGTGTAGTGATAACTCCAAGGACGAAGGCTTCAGTTGATGTAGCTGGAGTTGCTGGAGTGGCTGCTGGAGGTGGCATTGAAGTTGTGGCTGCTGGTGCAGATGTAGTAGCTCGTGTATCAGGTACTGCACAGCAGACCTCTGACCTCTTGGCACATACTGAAAAGCTTCTGTAATTGCCTTGCCTTTGCTCTCTTCTCATGTGCTTGCACTTATGAAGGATCATTCTCATCCATGACTACTGTGTTGTCTTCAATATCTGGCTTGAGAGGTAAGTGCTCCTTGTCCAACAAATAAGTGCATGTGCCCATCTTTGAGTTGATGAGCACCTGAATTTGTGGAGCATACCCACAAGCCCTTTTTTGATCAATAGCTATCCTCTTGATTGTCTCTACAATCAGACTCATCACCTTGAATTTCTGAGGAACATAAAAAATGTGCAGCAAGTTGATTGAATGTCCTCTTATCATCATGTGATCTCCATATTTGGGCAATAGAGTATGCCTCGGGATGGTGTTGATAGTAGGCAGGCCAGATAGCAAGTATTTCACAGAGCCCAACTTATGAGTTTCCAGGGCTTCATCAGGAATTTCCTTGTACATACTTGCCATTGAGTTGTGGTCTTTCTTCTTCTTGGCATACACATCCAAGTCATTCTCATGAGCTTCTGGGGCATTTATCAACTTGTCCCATTCATCAACAGTTGATTGGTACCTTGTACCTTCAGACATCCATACTATCCTTCCATCTGGATAGAAATGAGCAGTGGAGTAGAATTGCATGATCAGCTCATCATTCCACTTAGTGAGCTTTTGTCCAACAAACTTGTCAACTCCACAAGCCTTAAAGCTATCATATACTTCTGGGAAATGGTCTTCATTCTCTCTGATGTATGTCCAGTCAACCGATCTCATATCACAGAGAATTGGCTTCTTGTCAAGCAGAATGGTCTCATAGAAGTCTTGCTGTTCTTTAGTGTGGAACCTGTAATCCACATCAGTTCTCCTTCTCACAGCATAAGGATCACTCTTCCTCCAAAGTCTCAGACCTGCATCTTTCCTGATGCTCATGTCCTCTGCCACTGGATGAGTGTCATTGTGGTCTAGGATCTTTGGTTTGAGCTTCCTCAACACTTGGGCTTCAGCATCTTCTTCAGCAGCTTCAGGCACTTGGGCCTTGTTCTTCTCTTCAGCAGGGATGTTTCTTGTGCTTCTCTTGGGTGCAGACTTGGTGGTTTGAGCAACAGCTTTGGGAGCAGATTTGGGCTTAGGAGTGATACATCTCCAATGTATCTATAATTTTTGATTGTTCCATGCTATTATATTACCCCTTTTGGATGTTTATGGGCTTTATTTTACACATTTATATCATTTTTGGGACTAACCTACTAACCGGAGGCCCAGCCCATATTGCTGTTTTTTGCCTATTTCAGTATTTTGAAGAAAAGGAATATTAAACGGAGTCCAAACGGAATGAAACCTTCGGGAGCGTGATTTTTGGAACGAACGTGATTCAGAGGACTTGGAGTGCAAGTCAAGAAGCAGCCGAGGCTCCCACGAGATAGGAGGGCGCGCCCCCCTGTCTCGTGGGCCCCTCAGGCGTCCACCGATGTGCTTCTTCTTCCTATATAAGCCTACGTACCCCAA